AAAATCTTCTTCATGATGGACCAAGTTATTCATTCGATATTTGTTTTTAAAATGTTGCTTGGCTCCATCGCTGTAATAAATAACTTTTTTTATATTTATACTTTTCTTTAAATAAGGAATTAACATTTTCTGAATTGTGTAAACAGCTGCAGCATCATGTCGAGTACTTTCTGATAAAAATACAAGACTCTTGTGTTTAATTTCGTTACCTTCCTTGTAATAAACTACAACGGGAAAGACTGTACATTGCGTGTTGTTAAAATGGAACGCTTGAGAGGCATCTTGAACAATATATTTGTAGTTTTCAGTAAAGTCTAAAATAATTAAAACTTTACCATCATCTAAATTGTTCTTTCTATCAGAAAAGAACTGCGACTGTTGCTTTGCCAAAAATGAGTGTGGTTTTAGAAGTTAAAGCTTATTACTAAATTCTTCTATATATTCTGCTGTAGCGACAATGCGTGTTTGCAAAGTTGATCTGTCTGTGCTAGTCCATACACTAAATTGTACATGTTTAATATTCTGTTCATCCAATAATTGCTGTAAGGATTTTCGCAAGTTATTTGCTTTAAACAATCCTTATAGTTTTTTATTGGACTTTCAGAATGTTGAGTTAGTTTTTCAATATCAATTGCATCTACTAGTAACATAACATTTTGATGAATGATACATACACAGAGAGAATGTGTTTTACTGCCTCCAGCAAGAAAACATTCTTTTGGACGAAGTAGGGCAAATTTGCTAAAACTTACAGGAACATTTTTATTGATTTCTTTGTATACACAAAAAAGATCCTTTAAATCCAAAAGCAAAAGACGTTTTTGTTTTAAAGAACTTCCGTTTTCATCTTTTACGGAGACTACGTCTTTTTTACCAGCCATTACCGTACTGTTTTCGTCACTAGTATAAAACTTTACTACATTTTCAACAGTTGATGCTGGTAATGCTCTACCAGCCTTCGCTGTAGTTTCTGCCAAAATGCCATTAGAAATTCTGAAGTCTATAGCCTTCTTAGCAAATTTCCAACTGCAGCCAAATTATTCTGAAATTTTGTTAGCAATCCATTTTTTTGGAAGTATAGAAAGAATGCGTAATCTCAATGGATCATTAATTGGCAAACTTGCAAATTTTTCTTTTAAATCGGATATCATTTCTTCCAATTCAACTTCTCTTTGGGAACGAACAATCACTGGATTTTCAGTATCATTCTCCACATCAGTGCTCAAATCCATTGTATTTAATTCATGCACTGACGCTTCAGAGTCTTTTACATGGATTGCAGGTTCATGACTTTTACGTCTGCACTCCCAACAAACCTTACCTGAATCAGGAAGCTCTGGAAATTTTTGCTTCATACCTACCGGTATTTTCCGCAAATCTTTACCTTTGTGGTTAGAAACACCAAAGGCTTCAAAAGGATTGCAACATCGGTCTCTATGAACGATGTTCTTATTTGACATTTCGATGTTTATTAATATTCAAAGAAAAAAAGAACTAAAAAAACAAAATAAAAAAAAATAAAGTAAAATAATTAAATTAAAATAAATAATAATGTTATTATATTAAAATATTAAGTGTAGAAAAGGTGGGAAAAGATAGGAAGAATTTCAGAAACTGCAAAAGTTTACAGAAATTCTTTATGGAAATGTAAGTAGGATATAAAAGGGTAGAAACAGTAAGGATGATATTAATAAAAATGTATAAGTTTACTATAATAAAAATGTTTTCAATTAATAGGAAAGGTTAATTTTGGATAGTTGTCCATGACAAAGTTCGTCTGCTCTAGTTTGCTGTTAGACAAAGAATACACGAGATGAAGATGGATGAAAGCGTATGCCGCTTAGTGGGGTAGTGGGGGTTTGCTGCTTGGTAGAACGAAGCAACGCGCTGATTGGCTTACCTGAATCCATCACTAGACGCAACTGCGCTTGCGCCGTTATTATCTTCATTGGTAAAAATTAGCGGGCTTATATGAAACGCTATAATATAATAATATATTTAAAGTATAATAAAAAAATTATAAGTGTCAAATTTATTGTTCTTATATTTAGTTAAAATGTTTTTTAATCAACATTAATTTTTATAAATTATTTTGAAATTAATTTTTAGTAGGGATATTTATTGTTGACAGTTACAATGGACTTTTCATAAAACTCAACATTTAAATTAAAATATATTAATTAATAAATTATAAAAGAATTTTAATTAATTTTATAAATACTAGTAGTAAAAATAATAGTAAATAAACCTATACTTGCACTTATTAAATCCTATACAATTATTTACACTTAATAATAATAATCTTAAAATAATTGCTAAAACTAAATAATGATTGACAAAACGTTACAAGTAAACATAAAAACAATAAGTGTGTTAATAATTTTAAAAGTCTTAATAATGCAAGTAAATAGGTTATTTATTAAAAGTGCAAGAATTATTTATAAACTTAAATTAAATACATTTCCTGGATAATTAATTAATTGACCTACTTTAATTTAAAAGTTAATTTTTAAAAAATGACCATTTTAACTATTAACGAAAGTTATTTAAGAAATTTAATGTTGATTATAAAACACTTCAGCTAAACATAAAACTATAAATTTAGCACTTATTATATTTTTTGGTGTATTCTAAATATTTTATTACATTTGCAATTGCGTCTGTTAACGGTCATTGATACCTTTGTATGATAGCGATCGAAATATGGAAACGACTGTTTTGTTATGTGTCACACAAAATATATTCATTAAAAATTGTTTCAAATTTTTATGGTTTTCTTAGTAGGTCTAAAAATAGTCTTAACTAAACAAGCCCCAAATGATGAGTTTTAAGAAAATTCATAAGTTTTTTTAAAAATTTGTTCGCCATATTGGATCCGCCATATTGAATTTTTGAAAAGTAGCATCAGATTCGTAATCAGCGACCCAAAAACCCCCAAATGATGTGTTTTAACAAAATTCATAAGTTTTTTTAAAAATTTGTCCGCCATATTGGATTCGCCATTTTGAATATTTGAAAAGTAGCATCAGATTCGTAATCAGTAATCCAAAAAACCACCAATTGATGAGTTTTAGGAAAATTCATAAGTTTTTTTAAAAATTTGTCCGCCATATTGGATCCGCCATTTTGAATTTTTAAGAAGTAGCATCAGATTCGTAATCAGCGTTCCAAAAAAACCCCCGAGTAATAAATTTCAAGTGAATTTAAGCAGTTTTGAAAAATCATCCGCCATATTAGAGTCGCCATCTTGGATTTTTAAATATTCCATTTTGCATTTTAAAGTAGACATAAATAGCTAAAATTTAAGACGTCATAGAACAATTTCTGTCAAAATGAATTTCATTGGCATATGAAATTAGAATGAATTTAATGAATGCTGAACACATTTTCAGCCATATTAAATCGGCCATCTTGAATTTCCTTTTTGGCCACTTTGCATTAAAAAGTAGACTTAAAGAGCTAAATTTTGGTCCCTATTAGAACTCTCTAGGTCAAAACAAATTTTGGGGGGATAGGGGTCTCCCGTTCAGAAAGAATGCCGCATATATATATATATATATATATATGGGGGGTAAAATTCGTGTAGCGTAAAAAGTGAAAAAAAGTTAATCGGATCGGGCTGTAACTTGCACCTAGTTTAGCCCTAGGGGTGAGTACTTTAACTTTATATTTTAAATATTGAATTTTTAAAAACTTAATGGATTCGCTTAAAACTTGTTACTCGGGGGTTTTTGGGGTCGGTGATTACAAATCTGAAGTCAGATTTTAAAAATTCAAAATGGCAGATCCAATATGGCCGACATATTTTTTAAAAATTCAATGGATTCGCTTAAAACTTGTTACTCGTGGGTTTTTAGGGTCTCTGATTGCGAATCTGAAGTCAGATTTTGAAAATATTAAATAGCGAATCGAATATAACAACAAACTTATTCCAAAATTGATCTGATTTATATAAAATTTTGTTGTTTTATAGCTTCCACAAAAGAGTTGAAATTCATCTCTTTTTTACAGTGTTTGAGAACCTTTACCCCAACAGTAAAACCTTAATATTTACTACAGATTTAAAAAAGCCATATTAAAAACTCCTGAGTTAGAAGTATCAAATTAATTAATTAATTTAATATTTTCAAAATTTGGCTTCAGATTCGTAAACAGCGACCCCAAAAACCCCCGAGTAACAAGTTTTAAGCGAATTCATTGAATTTTTTAAAAATATGTACGCTATATTGGATACGCTATATTGGATACGCTATATTGGATACGCTATGTTGAATTTTCAAAATCTAACTTCAGATTCGTAATCAGGGACCCCAAAAACCCCCGAGTAACATGTTTTAAGCGAATCCATTACGTTTTTAAAAATCTGTCTACCATATTCGATCCGCCATTATGAATTTTTGAATTCGCCACTTTTTATTTGAAAGAGTATGAGCTCACGGTTATTTTCAGCTATAATAAGTCAATTTTCGTTTAGTAAATTTTTGGACAGAGCTCTGGGCCGATTAACGTGAAACGTCCCATATATGTATGACTACTAATCGGGATATACTTTTTTCGTCTCTTTGGATCTTCAAGAGAACTTCGGTGTTGTAGGTCGTTTGGGGTTTCAGACCTAATACCCTTTATATTACGTACGCGTTAGACTATGAAGTATACATAATTTCAATGTAATATTCATTTTGATTATCAGAAATTTTGGAACTTTTTAGTACATTTTTCTTGATATATAAACAGAAACTCGATTTTATCTTTTTGGTCTTCAATTACTCATGACACATAATAGAATAGAAATGAACAAAAAAAATTAAAGTGCCTCGACCTTTGGGTTGATATTGGTTCGGACCCACTGTGTAAGGAATAAAATTTTTTGTAATAGATAAAAACCCCTTCTTTTAGGTATAAAAATTTGGAAGTAAATAAAATAAATTTAGTAATAAAAAAAATGTTTAAAGAAAGTCACTGAGATATGGTACTAACTCCTTAATAATTTAATACCTTACTTGAAAAAAACTTGATGTTGAACCACCGTTAAGAGATCCATATTTTATCTTGGTTTGTTTTGCAAGATCATCTGCACTATTTATAGAAACATCCATTTTATCAGCAGTCAAAAATGCTGCCAAATTAGCCGTGTAAGAGGAGACCATTATCAATACGAAGAACCACCACATACCAGCAACCATTCGGATAGACGGGGCCCTGTTATTATTAATTATGGTTATAATTTTATGTCACTATTTAATTTATTTAATATTAGCCCAAAATATAAAATAGGTACTGGACAGGATTTTTACATCATAAAAGATTTTAGGGTTGAAACATAATTTGTTAAAACTTAGTATTAAAAGTTCATTATGATAGTTCTTTATGATGATTATTTTACTTACTGAGGTAAGATATCTGAACCTTGTTGCATAAGTGAGCCCATAGTAAGCCACATTGAATTCATTAAATTAAAATTATTTTCTAATTCATCTGCTTCTGAATTACATGGATGTGGATTGCCCCATTCACCAGGTGCCATTCTAAAATAATATACATATAAATAAATATTAACCCTTTGCGTTATGCTGGGTCTCTCATTATTCTTTTTTAAAATGTAAGAAATTATTGTATTAGAAGTTAACTCATAGTAAAGTGTAGATTTTCGTAAATTAAACTCAAATAATCTATATAAGTCTTCTATTACCTAAAGGGTAACAATAAAAAGTTTGTACAAGTTTCTAGTTACATCAAAGCTTCCTTTAAAACGTCTTTTCATGAAGAAAAAAGGTGAATTAAATTGATCCTTTTCACGAGAATGTCAAATATATCCTGAAGTGAATAAAAGATGTTGACTTCAAGATGTAAAGTAATTCTTTCACATTTGCCATTGCAATAATACATAAAATAACATGATAATACAAAAAAACACTATTGTTTCATTTATAATCAATCGTATTGTACTTGCACCGTACAAGTGAATTTTCTTGCAAAACATGTTTTTATCGAATATACTAATTATATTTTCTGTTTATGTTGTTTGAGAACATAAAATTCTACAATACTTATAACCAAATTTAATAATTTTTTGAAAAAAATGTAAAATTGTGATACTTAAAATATCGGAGTTTACAAAGAAAGAGATTCTTCAAAGCTTGAAGAATTACACTGATAGAAATAACTGGTCAATACTGAAAGAATTATTAGTATGTTTACCATACAAAATGTTTGGAATAGATACAGCCATACTTGATGGCTATTTTAACTAAAAAGGTGTCAAACTTGATGCCTGTCCATCATTGTGAATTAACCTTATACACTTTGACATATTTTTGTGAGAAGATCCACCTACCTGTTTCTATCAATGTAGGTAATATAAAGTTAGTAGGTGAGTATGTTGTTCACAAAATGAATATTAATCTTTCTGATTTAGGTTCTCGAAGAAATGATCAGGAAAGTTTCACACTGAACATTTATTTAATCGAGACATTTAAATCTTTATACACTTTTCACTATACTTTGCAATTAAATATTCCAAATATTGCAAGTAAATATTTACAGAATTTTCAGGAAAGTTTTAATGCTGTGGGGGTTTATTCGTTGCTTTCGTAACTGGTAGTACGGCCATGGCAAGTAGAATTTGTTTAACATTTAAAAAAGCATATACATTGCAGATATCAAGAGCTGCGAGAAAACTATTATTATTTTTATCCGCAATTCTTCTTCGTCACAGTTGAACTTCACTGATCCATATTTCCGGAAAATCATCATGTAAAATATTATTTTATTTTTCAATCAAATCCTTGCAGGCATCCTCATCTGAAGTTGCAGTTTTAAACGGAAAAAGACTTTTGAGGAAACGATCTTCGAGATGAGTAATGAACAGATCGAGGTATGGTATGTAAATGGAAATCCGATAATAATCTTCAGCACTTGCAGTTATCACATTGCAACGTTTTACCTTTTTTTGCATTTACGTATCGAATGCAAATTGAAATTTGTTAAATTTTTAGAAATATCCGCTAACTCATCTGCTAAAATCATATAGGTATAAGAATAGAGCACGCTGGTCCATTCAATTCAAATAGGAGGTCGCGTCAGCTTACAATTAGTAGAAAGAGACGGGAGTGTTCTTCTTCCGTCTAATATCGCCTGCGTAGTTCAAACTGATGATCAAAAGTAAAATTGGTTATGTAGTTAAGAAGTAATTATTTACATTTTTTGTTTTTCTATTTATATTATTATTTAGAAATGTTTTTCAAACCAAAATGGTTCGAAAATGTTTAAATTGTCACCAAAAGGTGTCTAACGCTAATAGAATAACTTTACATCAGTAATTATTAATGGCATTAATGAAATTTTGCAATGCGTATATATATTTTTCTATAACACCTTGCGTCAAAAACTTGACTAAAGTGACGTTTTTGACGCACTAGAGCGAGAAAAGAGGGGAAATGGAACTTTCTCGCATAGTTTACCCCACCTTCCGTGCTCTTAAATCACGATTACCAACCTAACATAAATGTTTGTTACTATGACACTAGCAAATGAAATACGTCTGCGCATGCCTCATTCTCCGTGTGTTGACGCGTCGCAGAAACAAGGTAACCTCAATATTTCTCGACATTATACAAAAAACGCAAATCGTAAACATGCGCGATGAAATGATAAGAGATAACAATGAGTAATAACAATAAGGAGGATTTTTCTCTCATTGATGATTTAGTAAATTCTGCCAAATACAAATTAATTCCGGAAACTTCAAGAAAAAAATATATAAATTCTTATAAGCATTTTTTAACCTGGATAAAAAAAATAACATCGATGAAAGAAGAAACATTCTTGGCTTATTTCGAAGATCAATCAAATAATAAATCACCTACGACTTTGTGATCGATATATTCAATCCAGAAAAAAACTGTTCGACATTATCATAATATTGATATAGGAAGTTATACAAATTTAAGTTACCTTCTCAAAGTCTTGTCAAAAGGTTACAAAAGCAAAAAGGCGAAAGTTTTATCGCCAAATGAAATTAAAAAATTTTTAAAAGAATATCCAGATCAACAATACTTAGCAATAAAGGTAAAAAATACAATTATTTACAATTAAATAAAACCATTTACAAATAAATAAAACTATATACAATTAAATAAAATTATTTACAGTTAAATAAAATTATTTATAGTTAAATAAAATGATTTACAATTAAATAAAATTCTTCACAATTAATAAAATTATTTACATTTAAATAAAACTATTTACAGTTAAAAAAACTATTTACAATTTCTTCACAGGCAGTAGTTATTATTGGAGTTCAAGGCAGCGAAAAGCTAACATTTTGTAATTAGCTGCAAAAAGTAACATTTTGTGATTATCTGCATTTGAAATATTTGATTTTGTTTTAGATTTTCCATCCAATTTAAGATCACTCGATTCTTCATTACAAGAGTAATTTAATGTTTGACGAACACAACTTTCGACTTCAAAAGGATTCCTACCGCCCAAATTACTAATTGATTTACACCCTTTATCACGATCGTTTTTGCTCGCAGCGTAATGTACTGCCTCTTTATTGCCCGAGTGATGAATATCACATGTGGGCCTAATATAGGCACCCCTGGCACTATGTTTATGGCATGACAAGAGTTTATTTTCTTGTTTTGAGCCAAAGGTGTAATTTTGTCAGACCTAATAATAAAGTCTGATATGCGGTGTTAAGTGTGTCATTTGAATGCCTTTCTTTGCCATTATTACATGTTAAATTCTGTTCCTCATCATCGAGAAAGTCATTAAAGCGATTATCGCAGTAAATGTTGAGAAAAACAGCTTCTATTTGTATGTCATTTTCTATTTCATCTAAGGATTTTATTGGATACACAGGTGTCTGCTGCACCTTGTGTGATGGTTTAGGATCATATTCGCTTAGGCGATGTCGCCATCGAATTAATCTTAAATTTGGGCTTTTCATGTAAAATAACCACACAAGTGGTTGATGATCTGTTTCGAGTTTAAAACTTCTCCGAAACAGGTAGGGTCTAAAAGTTTCTACTGAAAATAATATTGCGAGCAATTCTTTATAAATAGTAAAGTAATTAAGTTCGGCTTCAATGAGTGTCCTCGAAGCGTAGGCTATGGGGAGAATTTTCCCGTCGAAATGTTGATTGAAAACACCTCCGATTCCATACTGAGGTGTGTCAGTAGATACAATAAAGACTTTACTAAAGTCAGGATATTGAAACAAAGGTTTTGTAGATAGAATATCTTTAAGCTTGTTAATTGCTTTGTCCTGAGCTTCAGTCGGTTTGGCGATTGCGGAGAAGCCGGGGATGAACCTACGATAGTAGCCAGCAAGACCTAAAATATTTTTTATATTTTTCGGAGAACGAGGTCGAGGAAATTTTTTCACGTCTTCCACCTTTTTAGAATCTGGTTGAACGCTGTTTTGTGATATAAAATGACCAAGATAAGTAACCTCTTTTCTCCAAGAGACATTTTTGTGGTTGTAATGTAAGTTTAGCCTTGTCAAGGCGTTCTAAAAAATTTATAAGGTTATATGTGTGTTCTTCTAGGGATTGTGCATAGATGACGATGTTATCCATATACACGAAGAGCTACACTTTCTGCAGTCCTGACAAAACTCGGGCAATTAATCTTTGGAATGTGGATGGGGCATTGTTAAGTCTAAAGGGGATCCTTTTAAAATGATAATGCCCAAAAGGAGTTAAAAGCAGTTTTTGCTTTAGAATCAGGATCCATTTCGATTTGATGGAAACCCATTGCATAGTCAAGAATTGAATAATATTTTGCCCCCCCCCAATTGATCAAGAATTGTGGAAATGTGGGGTAGTGGATAAGAATCCTTTATTGTTTAATCATTTAAACGGCGGTAGTCAATGACCATACGCCATCTTCTTTTTCCATCGGGACCGGGTTTCTTTGGTACTATCCAAACGGGAGAATTAGAAGGGAAATCTTAGTCCGCAATAACTTTTTTATCTAATAAATCTTTCATTTATCTGAAAATTTCTTTGCTTAATGTTTCAGTTGGTCGGTACTGTTTTTGAAAAATAGTTATGTCATCAGTTGTTTGTATTTTATAGGTCACGAAATCAGAGGCTTTGAGAACGTCTCTTTCAATGTAGAATCTATGTGAAAAGCGAGTGATAGGTTTACTTTTACTCGATTACTGACTGTGTTCGTTATATTGCATAATAGACGCACTTCATTGTTATTAATTGAGAGGTTTTTGGTATCTCCCTTCATATTCAGTCTAGAATATATTTGAAAAATATGTAAGTTTGTTCAATGAATTATAATAGTATAATTTAAGTGTCAATCAATCACCGGCATCATCGATAATCGAAGAAGAAAATGAAAATGAGACAAATATAATGGAAAGAAAATATCCTACGCCATCTCAAGATAAGTCAAAACAAAAATTCAAGTTAGGGAATTGCTATTTAAAGCTTATGCAGTGGCTAGTCGCAGCATTGTTAATAATTCTGGAATGAAAAAAATATGAAAAAACTACAAAACCAAT